TGCATCTCTTCTATATTTGTATCTCATCATATATTATATTATAAATATAATTTAGAGATAAAAAAATCATGTTATACATTTCCAAGTTTATGATTAAATAGCTCTATAATCTATACTTATATAAAGAGTCATCTTATTTACTAAAATTAGTAGCAAAAAATAGGTCAGCATTTAATGCAGGCCATAAATAGTAGTTTATTATTTTTCTTATTTTTTTCCTTAATGATCCAATTTAATTTATAAATACGCTATAATATAATCGTACAATTTAATTTCTAAAAATCATACAATTTAATTTTTTTTCTTTAAAAATACGCTTTAATACACACACACACACACACACACACACACACACACACATATATATATATATATATATATATATAGAGTACTTATTGTAATAAATTTGAATAAATTGTGTTACTTAAATACCTAAACAATTTAGAAATTCAAATATTTAAGGATTGATAAACAATTTATATCTCTATTTTATTTAAAGTAGTTTTAAATATAGCCAAATTTATTTAAAAAATCGTATTGATCTTACCAGTTCAATCGACTGGTGTTGACGAATTTAATAGCAAATATTTTATTTAAGTGAACTAGACTGATTATAAATCGGTTCTCGGTCCATCCGGTCGGACTGTGTCCAACACGATTTAATTTGAAAACGATGGGTAAATCTTAATTTATTTATTTGTATATTTAATTTATAACACAATGGTAATATTGTTTTCTCGTGCATCGCACGAGCCACGCACTAGTTTCTATAAAGAGGTGCTCTTAAATTTTATATTTATTTCATTAATCAATTTCACAAGACATGAAATAAATTTTTACTTTATTGCATATATTTATATATGGTGAGTTCTTCATCTTGTGCCCACCATGTGAAGTGAAAAGTGTTGATTTTGACGGTATTTCTAAAGGGGGACCATATATAGGTCTATGTAACTATTATCATGAATACAACTGTTATTATATACTCCCTCCTATTCATTATAAATGTACGTTTTGACTTTTTTGATTCATCCATTTTGTTATGTATCTAGACATATTAATGTCTAGATACATAATAAAATGGATGAATCACAAAAGTCAAAACGACATTTATAATGAACATGAGGTAGTATGTTTTTAATATCATTAGAAAAAATTACCTTTTTCCTCACTATATTTTACTTCACTATATAGTTTACCAATTCAGATGTTTCTTAAAGATGGTAAAATTCTTAAATTATGTTAGTGGAGATCTGCAAATGGCGATTGAAGATAGCAAGGATTGGAATTTGAAGAAGACCACCTTGCATTTCAACCTCCAACTCGCTTTTTTGGTTGATATTTCTCCACAGTGTGCAAAAACTATTTGTCCTTTTGGCACTTGACTTATGTTTTTTTGTTAGTATGCATTCAATTTATAATCAGCTTATTACTACTTATTTTTTGTCGTTTACAGAGATTGTGTTTTTTCTAATATATACTCTCACCGATTCTTTTTAAATGTCATTTTCACTTTATCAATTATTAACAAAATAAACGACGTTTTAGTTCTTTTGTACATATTTTTTCATTATTACCCTCATTCGTGTAATAATTACACTACATCTTTTCATATTTCACTCTTCACCTTTCTCCCAAAACATCCATCTCTATCTTCATTAAATATGGTTATTATTGGCAAAAAAAGAAGATTCTTAATTACTGTGCAACTTTTCAAAACGACATATATTGTGAACCGAAGGGAGTAACGTTTATGGTTGGTATATGTGTAGACATCAAAATTTTAACATTTTATTAATCTATGTCTTTGTTTATTTTTGAACATAAATTCAAGATAAATAAGGTATATAATTAATAAAGTAATTATTTGTTTCTTACCAAGTCAAATCTTAAGAAGAAAAATCTCAGGATAAAGGAAGAAATTATATCAAATCATGAAGAACCAATCAAAATGATATCTTAATCTCCAAGACTCTCATATACCTATAAATGGCTCTCTTCAAAGCCACGAGTAAGACCTCATATGTCAAATCTCAAGTTCAAGAGCTCTCAATAATTCTCTTAAAAATCCAAGACATTCAAGTTGAAGATCGACGTTAAAGTCAAAATTCCTCTGCAGAAAGGACCAAAGACGTCAAAATTCCTCTGCAGAAAGGACCAAAGAAGAAAACGACGTTCAAGTCCAAGCCTCGCGCCTCGCCCGTCAAGTGAGCAGCCGACTAGAGAAAGAGATCCCATGTCGCCCGAACGGTGATTTTATCAACTATGTGCAAGAAGGGAATCTCTCCAAGAAGGATTAAAGAAAAAAAGACCATCAAGAAGTCGTCTTCAATCAAATCAAGTCCCAACATTTAATACGGGAACAAGTAATTCGACCACAAAATTATTATTAGAGAAATTCAAGATAAAGCTTGAAGGAGATCCAATTGTCAAGTCCAAATTTGAAGATTCAAATTCAAATTTAAAAAGAGAAGATAAGTAGAGTTTGTACTCGAAATATTGTTTAATCTATAAAAAAAAATAAAGTTGTACAAAAGTTTTATGTTATTCATATAATTTGTTATTTCAAATTTGGCACGTCCAGTGAAACCCGGAATAAAATTTATTGTTAAAAATTTGGCACACAGTGGGGGAACATGTCTTCACATTATGCCCATTTTCATTGCATTTGCTACATTTTTTTTTCTTTGTATGCTCCCACGCTAATGCAAGCCTTATGTTTTCGTCCTCAAATAGGTCGAACCCTTGCAATTAGGTTGTTTTATCACAATGAACATTGACTTAGCCTCGACTTCGACCAAGACAGACCCTTGCAACTGGCGATATTTTGAAATTCTTCCTCAAATTATTTAAAATATGATATTTACAAACAATGTGCAACTTCTGGATATATACCATAAATTAAGTTTATTATGCGTTTATAAACAATATATATATACATATTAGTCTGGTGTGAGAACCATATTTGATGTTATTTTTACTTGTGTATGATGTTATTTTTAATATTGCATGGTGCTATCATTAGCGCAAATGCTAATAAAAAATTTATTGCTATTTTTAATAAAATACATCCTAGCTAAAAATTAATAACACTAAAACACAATCAATCATAACACTACTTACAATTAAAAATAGCAATTCTCACGGTTCTCTCTCTCTCTCACACACACACACACACAACAAGACCAATGAGAGTAGCAAACAATGGGCCCATAAACCAAACGACCGAGAACATAATCCACCAAACACCTTCCGACGGGACAGGCTAGAGCACTTACGCTATCGTCGGCGGAGCGTTTTCGGGCTGTTATTATGACCATG